CCCCTCCCCCGCCCCGGCCCTAACACACACACACACACACACACACACACACACAGAGACGCTGAGACAGAACTGCGGTCTGAACTTAGCAAGCTCCACAGACTGAAAGAGTGGTCTCTCAGCCTCTGCTGGTCAGTGGTGGGAAGGCAGACCATAGAACTCTGTTCAGTCAGGGCAGCACATCCGCCGCCAGCTCCGTCTGGAGTTTGGAGGGAGAAAACACTGGAATTTCAGTGAGCACAGAGGCGAAGTTGCAGAGCTCTGGAGCTCCAGCAGGCAGACCTGCCACGCCCTGACGAGTTCATTTTTGCAAATAAATTCTTCTTCTTTTGGCATTTTCAGTTTTTCCTGTGTTTCCTATGTTAAAGACTAAACTTCTTGTCTGAAAGGCCCAGCCAGACCTCAGCGCCCTAGGAGACCGCTCTCAGTTTTGGTGGGGTTGGCCTGTGCCCGGCAATCCTCCCAGTTCTGACGGTGAATGGGGAGGTACTGTGACCAAATCCACGCCCCGAGACACCATCAACACATGGCAACGTGCTTTCAAGCCATGTGGGTTTTTTAAAGATTTTATTTATTTTTTTAGAGAGCAGAGAAGGGAGGGGGAAAGGGAAACACTGATGTGTGAGAGACACTCAGAAAGGTTGCCTCTCACATGCCCCCAACTGGAGTTCTGGCCCACAACCCAGGCACGTGCCCTGACCGGGAACTGAACTGGTGAACTTCGGGTTTGCAGGCGGTGCTCATTCCACTGAGCCACACAAGCCAGGGCTGTCATGTGGCTTTTATTTATCTTGTCCAACATGCTGACGAATAAAGGGAGATGCCGTTCCCGTTGTCTCAGTGGGATGGGGTGGGTAACAGGCCTCTGCAAGGAAATGTCCCAAGGCTTCCCCATGCACCTCACCTTCCATGACATATGGGGCAGTTTAGTGCCAGATCACACCCATGACTAGGGCGTGGGAAGTAACGTCCACCCTTGTTCCCAGTCATCCTACTGTGTGTTGTGACTTGTCCCACCGGGCCCCACACGTGGCTAAAGGTGGGCAGGAATCAAAGAGAAGGAGAAGCGGGGAGGCCTCTGGCTTCCCCAGGAGCTCAGGATAACTGAGAATTTGCTGGGGGAGAGCAGGACTTTCTGCCACACTCCACTGTATTTGGAGCATTTGGAGTGTGGACACCCAACCAGTGCACGAAAGCCTTCAACTCCTCTGAGGTGGCTCACCTCTGCTCTCCCTCCGCGAGACCCTACTGTGTGCACTGGGACACTTTGTGAGGAAAACCATCACTGGCCTGGGAGGGTTGGAAGTGCCAGACAAAGTGACCTCAAATTAAAAGAAAAATAATAGCCACCCTCACAGATGTGTCTTGGAAGTGAGCCCACCTCTTACTACACACAGGTCTCACTTGGGAACATTTAAACATTACTTTTTAGTAGCAATTCCTTTGACTTTATCACCCTTACCTCTGTCCACAGTCGAACAAGCAGAGAAGTAAAAAATGTCACCACCTAGGGGCACCTCTCTGATGACACTAGAATGGGAGCCGAAATGTGACAAATTGCAGACAGACAAGAGGCAGCCCCTGGCAAAGGATGGCAGAGGGAGCAAGGGACTGAGTTCTGTTCGTTAATAGACCCCCATCCTGCCCAGTGCCACCCCAGGGTCCTTTGGGCACAGTCCCCGATATCATTGTGCTGTCAGTTTAAGTGGACCACAGCTGAACTTGCTGTATGAGGTCAGCTGAACTTCACTCCATAGTCTCCACTCTGCTCTGCAGATTCGAGTCTATTCTTTGGCTGGTTCCAAGTCCGCAAATTAGTATTCTTTCTTTCTTTCTTTTTCTTTCTCTGTCCCTAATACTTTATTGGTCACCTCTATCCCTGTGTCTGGTTGGGCGGCTCCAGGGATGGGTCACCATTCAGCACTCAGCTGGGAATATGGAAAGGCGTAGGACTAGCCATTTGGGGTCGCAGACTGCAGAATATGAAGGGGCAGGTCTGGCCTTTCCTGGGCCAGCACGGGGCCCCCAGGTAGGGGCCAAGAGCCCAAGCTTGGTGCCTGTTTGTCAGCCTAGTTGTGTTTGGAGAAGTATTCCTGGCTGTCACCCATGTTGGGCTTGATCGTGTCACTCCCTGACTTCCAGCCAGAGGGACAGACTTCCCCATGCTCATCTGTGTACTGAAAGGCCCGGACCAGCCGGAGAGGAGAGCCCCATCTGTGGAGTGCTCCACAGGCAAATCAGTGACGGTGAGCTGGTGAAGCACACCCTTGCCGTTGATGATAAAGAGGCCCCTGTAGGCAATCCCCTCATCTTTCTTCCGCACGCCACAATCATGGGACAAGCTTCTCATTACCTGAGCCAGCGGGGGGATATTCAGAGGGCCCATCCTCCTTCCTTCCTGGGGGTGTTAATCCAAGCCAGGTGGGTGAACTGTGAGTCTACGGAGACCCCCAGCACCTCGCAGCCCAACTTGTGGAAGTCCTCGGCATGTTCGCTGAGAACGATGATCTCCGTGGGGCACATAAAAGTGAAGTTCAACGGGTAGAAAGAAGAGGATCACGTATTTCCCTCTGTGATCTGAAAGCTCCACCGCCTTGAAGGAGCCTCGCCCCATGGCGGTGGCCTGGAAGTCTAGGGCGGGCTTTCCGCTGTGCGTGCTCCCGGAGGCCGTGACCGAAAGCTGCGAGGGAGAGGGTGGGACACACAGAGAAGCAGACCAGCTGACTCGCGTTCCAAGACCAGTATTTTTTCTTTTATAACAAGAAAGAATCAGTTTACCCACAAAAGGATAGAGAAATAAATTAGAATCCTATCTTACTTAATTAAGGAAGGGAGGACAAGGGGGAAGGCGCTGATTTATACCCAGAACAGTTTACTTCCTGCAGGGTGCTGGTTTTGTGGTTGTACCTTTAAAAGTGAGTTAGCAAACCCTTTGGCCACTGGGATGGCCATGGGGCACAGGCTTGCCTGACGGGAATGTCCAGAGCATTCACTCGGCTGCCCTGCACTAGGTCCTGGTTTCAATAAATTAGAAAGCGGATGAATGTATGTAAAACTGATGTTTTATTGAACCTAACTTATTTCTGAGTCTTGGACATAATCAACAACGTCAATTATCAATGTTTTGCAGACGGTAGACGGATGGGGTAGGGTGAAATTCTGGCAAAGGAAGATTGGATTCCGATGCGTGTTCATTACAACAGAAGTAGTTGGTTGGGGTGTCTTGTTGGGTTGCTTAGATGGGCCTGGTCTCTGACGTCTCGTCCTCCACCTCACACACGTGCCCGCAGTTCTTCTTCCGCCCCATCCCTCTCTGATCCTACAGACCGACCATTCCCAGAAGTAGTACAACAGCCCTCTGGTCCCGTTTGTCCCAGGCAAACTGAACAGGTAGTAACATTCCTCTGACCCGGGCTCCTGCGCTTGGCGTGCACACGCAGACGCCCTCCTGCCTCCGCGGCGTCCCCTGTGACCTGCCAGCTCCCTCCACGCGCTGCCCGTGTCTCACCACACCCCCCGCGGAACCCCGACCTCCGGCCCCACCGCCTGCCTCCACTGCTTCCAGCTCGGACTCCCAGGTGCCTTCACCTGCCTCTTTACCAATCAACGACCTTCACCCCTTTTGAAACCCTTCATATTTTACCCCTAATATAATTCTACTTGGGATTAAACTAGCTCTTCATTGGCCTGCTTGTCTCACCTAGTTTCAAAGAAAAACCAGAGCTGGAGAGTAAAGAGATAAAAATGGGTTTCGTTCAGGAGTAAAATAGGAGAAAAGAGACATTGGGACAGAACCAAGCTCAACTCCGAACACAGCTTGGGCAAGTGGGGACTTACAGGGCGGAGCAGGTGGGGTCAGTGGAGGCAAAGTCACGAAGGCAACACTGGGGTTGGGGGCAGTGGGGTAAAGCAGACCCGAAGGTCACTGCTGAAGGCAGGCTGGGGTGGGGGCCAAACGTCACCTGGGTGGGGGGGTGAAGAACTCGATTAGACAGGGAGGGTGGTTAAGATCAGAGGATGGGGGGGGTGGTTCTGGCTAAACAAACCCATCAGGATTCCTGTGAAAACTGGTCAGTGAGGGGAGGAACACAGGAGCCCAAAGTGGAGGCCTTGTGGGCGAGTCCAGGGGAGCCTGGGTAGACTCTGGTCAAGGAGACAATCCCTGTCACCAGGCTGTGAGCTCCCAAAGGTCAGGGACTATGTCCCACACTTCTGTACCCACCCCAAGCCAAACCCAGTACCCCCGCTATGATTCCGGGAGAGCAGGCTGTGACTCATTACGTGTGGGCTCGGTCCCTTGGCCTAACGGCTCTGGATTTCGTTTCTGCAGCTGGGCTGTAGCAGCAGCCCGCCCCCTCTGCCAGGCCCTCAGGCTGCTCCCCCAGATGGGCACCACCGCGTGCCGGCCTTGTGGCCGGTGTGGACAGGGCTGCGGGTCCTGAGGGAATTCTGGCTGAGGCGAGGGAACGACTGCTCACTCACCACCGTGATCACCACCTTGATGAAGAACAGTGAAGCTAAGACACGGGTGGGGAAAGCTGAGACCAGAAGGGAACAGTGTGGAAGGGTCCCACGTGGGAGAAGCCGAGATGCTTCCCTAGAACACGGGAAGGCACAGAAAACTGTGTCCACAGGCACCCACCCTGGGCCTGCCGATGTCTGCGTCCGTGTATGTAGCTCCAATTACAAGCCAGCGCTGACCCGTCACAGCAGAAATCAGGAGGGAGCCCTCGTCATTTCACGTGGGAGTGGATTCTGCTTCTGTGGCGGGCTGGGTCGTTCACACTCCACTTTGTAGGAAGACAAGCAGAGCTGTTTTCATGACACGTGAGAGGAAAATCTCCAGGTGGCTGTTCTGCAGCAAGTCCTGGGTAATCACAGATCTCTGTCGGGACAACCTGGACATTACCCAGCCACAACCCCCATAGCGCAGGCTCCGCAGGCCCCAGTGGACTCTCCCCACCGCGCCCCTGGGTGATGGTAATGAAGGCAGTAGCGGTGATAACACAGCTGACCCTTGAAGAATGCAGGCTTGAACTCACATGCAAATTTTTTCAGCAAATATCTGTACCGCTTTTGACCACAGCTGGCAGTCTGCAGATGCAGGAGGCCGACGGTCTGCATTGGTCTCTGCATCGTATTCAGGGGCCTTGAGCACCGTGACTTCGGTGTCTGCAGGGACCTGAAGCAGACACTGAGGGAAAACTTAAGTTTTGGGGGAGTCAAAAATCACACATGGATTTTCAATTTCCTGGGAGGTCAGCACCCCTAACCCCAGTGTTGTTCAAGGGTCAAGTGTACTATCCTGGTGATAACTTGTAAAACAGCTCCCACTTCTTCGATTCTGCATTGGGCCCATCACTGTTCTCTTTTCATAAATCACGACGTTATGCCCGAGAACACCATTATAGAAGTAGATACTATTACCCCTCCTTTACAAAGGAGGAAACTGAGGCACACAGAAGGTGGGTCACTTGCCGCAGGGATGCCGACAGTAAGTGGCAGATACGAAACCTGAGCCCAGCTGCGACGTGGGCTCCGGCTCTGCGAGGTCTCTCTAACCGGCAGTGTCGAGCTGGACTTGCACCGTGACACTGCTGGGCAGGCAGACAAACCTTTACCCCCTGATGCCCAGGAAGAAACGTGCTCGGAGAAGTTACGCAAGAGGACTAGTCCGCTTCTCCTAACCCACCTCTCCTCCTCCATGCCTGCCCCTCTGGCGGTGTGGGCTCCGGGAAGCTTCCGTCCTGCAGAGGACCGCTCGGAGGGCTGCGCCTTTCTGAACTGGGATGTGCCTTACGCACAAGGAGGGAGATCTAAAGGTAAGGATTTTGTAAGATAGCAAATGGGTGTCAAACAGAACATCTCTCTGAAGGCTGGTCTGTCAGGTACTTTGGCTGCTGGCTGTGGACAGTGTGACGGACAGGTTCGAAGAGCTTGAGAGAAGGGTGACTGGCTCAGCAGCATCCAGCACAGTTTGTTCCGTGTGCCTTGGGACACTCAGTGTGTGTCACTATCAGCACAGCTCCAGAGAGCCAGCCCCACCTGCAAGGGTCTCCCCAAGGCCCAGTTAGGGGCCCCTATCCAGACAGATCTGTGGCCAGCAGGAGAGGGGGACATGGAATCTTCCTGGTATGGACACTATCATAGCACCACAGAATTTAAGGGCTGGAAGGGCCCAGGCCTGGTCACACTGCCAAGGAGACGGGACGCCCTGAGGGGGTCCTGCAGAGTGCAAACCTCTGAAGGCACCGGGGTTAAGCACGGGCGTGTTCAGCAAGCGTTCGATTTGGCAGAAGTGGGCCGGCCTCCACGGCATTTGCACCTACAGCTCTGCAGTGTTTTGCCAGGAGCTCGCCGGCCACCCTGGACCTAGAGCCAGTGGAGACCATGTGGAGCCCGCTGACCCTACAGGCTCCTGCCGCCTTTCCAGAACATCCAGGGGCTCAGGCCGGATGAGGTTTATCTGGTATTGGCGGTGGTGTGGTTGGACTGGGTGACTATTCAGAGAAATGGCTTTGGTGCGTCCACCACCCAGGGTGTTAATTTCCAGTCTTGGCCCCCCACTGACTTGTTCGGTCTGATTCTTTCCTCTCTCGCTGGTATTCTGTCCACTTGAGAGGGAATCACAGGACTCCAGCTCCTGGACCTGAGGGCCTCTCACCTGTCATCTACCTTGACTCCCTGGCAGCAAATGCTGCCAGGGCTGGCGTGGCACCTGCCCACATCGGGCAGACTGCTAAACTGAATTAAACCTCAGGCCTCAGATTCCAGCCGGCTCCGAGCTTGGGTCCGGTACCTCTCCTGCGCCGGCACTCCCCCCATGGCCTCGTTCCTCCTCCTGGTTCCCACCTTGAAGGCACAGCCAGACACCGAGGGCGAGTCAGGGGGTCACCCCATTCCTGCCACCTCCTTTTTGAGGATGCTGAGACCCCTCAGTGCTGAAGAGCAAAACAGAGCAGGGCCCAGGGACCTGGGGCTCAGCTAGTCACAGACTTTTAAAGGTCAACTAGGGTTTGCTGTTGTGCCAAAGCCGGGCTATCGTTACACAAAACAGGAAAATGTAAGACGGTGGGTGGGGAGGGGAGAGAAGACAGAAGGTTAGTGAATGTTCATTAAAGGTTATTGTATGGCTCTAGGTCATTTAGGAGCAAGTCTTCCTCTGGTCCTGCCTGAGCCGCACACAGAGCCCACACACCCCCTCCAGCTCGACTTTCCTCTGAGACCAGCTCCACTGAAACCCTAGCATGTTCCGGATTCCAGCAGGATGTCCACAAGCACCGTTCCACCACCAGCCTGGTGCTTCCCCTTCCACCGGGCGTTGTGGTGAAGGGAAGCTGGGAGCACTTGTCCAGACGGCGGGCAGCTGCTGGCGGGGCGCGGGTTCTGAACGGCACTTCCGCTGCGCCCTTTCTTTCGGACCAACCGATGCAGGCGCAGCCTTTCACTGTATCCATGTGGGGCATCCAAGGGCTTGCCCTGAAATCTAACGGAAACAAAGTTTTGGCCAGGGTTCTGAGTTATTAGTGGAAAGCTTCTGAGAAAATACTACAAAAATGTGAGGTCTGGGCATCTATCTGCTCTGGAGGACTTTTGGAGGCTGTCCTCCCCGGTGACCACTGAATGGAGAGGGTGAATGTCTTCAGTAGCTGCTCTGCGCCCGGTGAGGATCCTGGTCTAACTTTCAGTACTTCCTAGAAGCCCTGATAGAGATGAGGAAATTCAAGGCCAGAGAGACAGCTGGCTCGTCTCAGGTCACATGGGGAGAAAGCAGCAAGGTCAGGTCAAGGTCAAGGCTTCCCAGGTCAGCCCCTTCTTGCTCCTGCAGAGATGGGGAGGCTGCCCACTGGGCTTGTTTCACGGTGACTTCAGAAGTCCCCCTCTCGAGACCTCACACCCAGAGTTTACCCTGGAATAACTGGTTCTGCTGACCTCCTGGAGCAGCTGAGGAATTAAAACATCCGGAGGGCACCGAGTCTGTGCAAATGCACAGCTCCCGCGGGGACAGCAGATCGAGCTGTTTCTCTCTCAGACGTGTCGCCCAGGCAGCTCCCTGACCTGTCCGCTGTGCTGGTCTGACAGCGGCAATATGTCCCAGGGGACTCATCGGCACTAAGTACTCAGGTCACTCCAAGGCCACTTAGGAGGACAGTGCAGAAGACAAAGCTGATGAGCTGTGTGGCTGAAGATGGGAGAGAGAAAGGAGTTAAGAGAAGAGAGTAAAACAGTTTTTCCCTCAAGTTGTCTGCTTGAAGGGTTTTCATCAGAGAAATGCCACCAGCCCAATCTGCACAGCAAAGAAGTGAGATATTAAAATTAAATCTCTTCCCTGCCAACGTTACACTAGGAACACACGACTGGGTTTGAACCCAAGTGAAGGGACCCTGAGAAGCGGCAGAGGGACTGAGTCTAAACTTGGAGAACAGGGATCCAGCACCCCGAGTGCCCACCACTCGCTGTCCGGGGGACGGGGCACGGTGACCACACCGACTTCAGGGACTGGTCTTCCCAGTAACTGGGAGGCTGATTCCATCTCACCCACTGACCGTTGGTTTGTGACATGGACCCAACAGGGAGGCCAAGTGTGGATTGGAGATGCCCTGGAGTAAGTTTATGTTTTGGCCTGTGATTTATTAAGGTGCCTGTGGACAGCTGCTTTTTTGGTGGGGATGACATAGCAGCCCTGGGGGGTATGTACCCAAAGAAAGCCCCCTCTCTCTGCCTTCCCTGTTGGTCAATCATCTCCTTCCTCCTCACAGGCACCTCCAGGAGTGCCGTCCAGGTAGAAACCGCCTCTCCCACTTCGCAGATAGGAAGACTGAGAACTGCACTGGAAAGGGGGCTGTTCTAACTGAGCTGGAGAGCTGGGGACACTGGGGAGGAATGCCCGCTGAGGGACTAAAGGCCTGCCTGCTGCCACGGCCGCCACGCAGGCCCCTGTGCCCTCTCTCCCAGGGTTCTGGCCCGAGTTCCCAGTGGAGTTGCAGGTGCAGATCGTCTGGTGCCACAGGGCACTGTGATGAGCTGGGCTCTGGGACGGGAGCAATGGGAAGGGGACTTGGAGTCACATCTGAGCAGCAGTTCCCTTCTCTTCTGCAGAAGTGTCAGGAGCTCGGGAGAGTCCTGAATCCCATGCCTACGCCAGCCTCAAAGGTAACAAGGAGACTTCCATTTGTTGAGGTCTCCCTGGGTCCAGGGCGCACTCAGCTCTTCTTTGGATGTGAAGGTGGCTTCAGCAGAGCTAGAGCAGCTGGGGGCTGGCTGTGCTGAGCCCTCACCACACTTGGCCTCTTACGCAGCATTCGTGACGAAGGAAGGATGCACAGGAACCAGCACAGAAACCGAACCCGAAAGTCTCTCAGGAAGGAGACTCCTAGGCAGGGTCCAGCAGTCACTGCGGAGCCCGGACTCGGTGATGTGAGCCTCGCATGGGAAACAGAAACTGTCCCTCGAAGCTGCTCTGGTGTGTCCCACGTAAGAGACGTCTGCTCAGCATGTCCCCACATGGCTGGGGGAGGGGTCTGGAGGGGCTTTCAGGAACCCAAACCGACTGGTCGGCCCCAACTCAGGACTCGAGAAAATGGTTATGAACTCTCATAGTCCTACTTAAAAGTATGTGGCCACAGACACACAGGGAAGGGTGGGTGCCTCTGGCCAACCCTGACCCAGAGCCTCCATCCAGGGTCTCTGACCATGGGCTGGGGAAGCTGGGATTGGCCTGGGAGAGTGGTCGGGAATGGAGACCTTGGACCAGGCCTCTCTGAACCTCTCCCCCAAAGAGAAACCCAGCCCCTCTACTGGACATGGTCCCTGCACGTCCCCAGGCAGAGGACCTGGCTCACTGTGGACCCAGAAAGAGTCACCTCCCCAAGAGTGCTGAGTGTGGGGCTCATTCTTCTCTCTTCAGAGGGTGTTTCACATCCTCAAGTCCTATCTCTGAAAGGAATGGGGGCTGAGAGACTCAGCCTTTCCCCAAGTCTCAACTAGAACAAAAGCAAAGTGCAGTCTTGAATGAGGGTGTGTTCCTCTGCCCCCTTCTTTTAAAATAATCATTTTCTTCCTAAACAAATTTCTTTTACCCTTTGGCTCCCTGTGTTCTCAGAAGCACAGAGCTCAAAGCTCTCTCTGTGCAACTGGAAGCTCGGCACCTCTTGGACTGGTAAATACGGCAGCTTTAAAACGCTTAGCTCAGAAGTCAGACCAACTGTGGCGAGAGCGCAAACACATCCCGCACAGTGGCGCAGAGCAGGCTCCTCCTGAGACTACGGACTGCGGTTGCTGCCTGAGCTGGGGGGCGACTGGTGCAGGCTGGGCGAGGCGGGGGCGGGGCACAGCCCCGGAGCAGCCCCTCTGCCCCAGGTAGCTGTGCCCCAGAGCAGATGAGCCACCTCAGAGTCCACTCAGGACCTGGCATGGATGTCTCTAAGCTCTGCCAACATGTCACGGAAATGTCCCAAGGTAAGAGGAGCAGCTTTATTCTTCTCCTCCAATGGGGGCTCCTCTCCCTACCCCCACACTTTGCGTGTGGGTGAAATTCACCAGCGAGACAACTGGGACGTTTTGCAAAATAGAAAGGGATCACTACATAATTTGATATGCATATTCGAGGAAGTTTTCCTATGAAAAATAGATACTTTGAACACACCTTCAACCACACACACATACATTGTTTTTATGAGAGCCAATTAACAAATGCTAATTCATTCAGGCATATCTCCACTGAATTACTGTTTCATTTAATTGCAGGGGAATTTTCCATTACTAAACTCTCCCTTGCTGATTTTTTTTTGCATTATTTATATATTTTTCAGTTTCACTAATAATGAGGTTGGTATGTGATATTATCTGCTCTTTGTGAGTCTTAAATTTCTTTTTCATCTAAAATGTTTCCTCATTCTTGCAGCTCCACGTAGTCTGGTAGAAACGTCATTAAAAGCAGACAAGATTTTACACATAAAGGATTGAAAAGGGCACTGGCTGAATTAACCCGACAGGGGGGCACCTTGTCTGACGGGGCTGCTCTCGGTTCAGCTGTGCGCGTGAGCACGAGGGTGTCTCCACTCTGGGCTAGTGTGGCAATATCTTCTATGTCAGCGAGTCACAAGTCTGTCTGTGAAAAGATTGTGGGCACACAGCTAGGAATGAAGCCCACAGGGGCTTTAATAATAAACACACAATCTCTCTCTAAGTCCCGAGAGCGCAATGCACAGCTCCAACTCCCTTTTCATCGACACAAATCAGGACTTTGACTTACTAGTCATCACAGATCCAGACCAACTGGCTCCCAAAGGTCGTGCCTTCCTTTATTCCTAGAAAAGTGAGGGGTTCCTGTGGAGGTTAGGGGTTGCTTAGGGGAGCTGGTGGGAATCATGTTCAAAAGGATGTGTTCTGAAGTAGAACTTCAACTTTCTTATGTTGAATGACCGAGGTTCCATGCACCTGGCCACCTTCGTTTCTGAAATAAGTTTGCTCATTTTTATTCTCCAGCCACCTTTTCCCCTGCCCCCACACTGCCTACTTTCAGCTTTTTTGTCTGTCTGTCTTTCTTTCTGTTCTTTTCCTTCTTTCTCTTTCACACAAACAAATTCTGGAGGATGTGAATGATTAAACTGTTTACTCCAAGGTTTAGGTATGAAAAGACATGTCACTGTAAGTAAAGTTTCACCTTTATACTCTATCAATAATTACAGAACAAGGATGACTATTAGTAAATCTTTCTTACAATTAGCTCTTACAAAAATAATGCCATTTATTCTAAGTATATTGAGTTCTATTGATTTTACTTGACACAAAAATTCATTACAAAGCCGACTAACCTCCAAAGTAAAGTCAGCATATAAAGGGATTGTGAATGCTACGCGTCCATGGGAAACATAAACCCATAAAAAATGTTCACATTAGAATTGGAGATTTGAGGCCCTAAATGCAAAGTTTTCACATACTATTTTAATAGTAGACACTCTCCTTTGAACAAAAATCTATTAATAATTATAATTCTATAAGATTGACTTGTGTGCTGTGTTCCCTCACTTCCTTTGTCTCCTTCAGCCGAATTAGAAGAGTCCTTTTGGGTATAGATTGATAAAATTAATTAACTTTCCTTCCACTCCAAAAAAAGTCCCAAATAAATGCTTCCAATCGACATCAAAAAGTGTCCATTAGAAATAATTACTTCTTATCAATCAGCGGGGCAATTAAAGTGACAAAGCTTGAAAAGATACTCATCTGAAAACTAATTCACGAGGTAGCTAAATTATCTCCTAATTAACTTGCACTGAGGCGGGTGGGAGGAAGGAGCATCTGGAAACAAAGATGAATCGAGGAGCCCCAGTGCCCCTTCATGCCCTTTCGGACCGTGTCCGTCCCGGGAAGACCTTATTTTCAACCCCAGCGAGAGACCTGCGAAGAAAACAGGCGCTCGGCAAACGCCTTCGGCCCCTTTCCGCCTTTCCGAACCCGGAGGAGCGCGCGGGGCTCCGCGTCCCGGGCCTGGGCAGCGCGAGGCAGGCCCCTGCGCGGTCCGCGGTCTCGTTTTTGCATTTGCACAACCGATTTTCAGGAGCTGGCGACAGGGCGGAGGCAAGGTGTTCCACATAACGTCTAATGACAACCCGCTTGCTTTATTAAACTCTCTTCCCCAGTGACGCACTATCGTTTACGTTGACCTTTGTGTGATGTTTATCACTTCCCACACCTCTTTGAATATTTAAACAATGCTTTTACTTTAGAGGATCTTTGGTCCCCGATGCTACAAAATTCCCAGTGGTTTTACGAAATGCTCAGCCCATTGCTAACCAGCGCGCACCAGAAGAACTCGCTATTCGCTCTCCACACCCCTTCGGAATAAAGCTGCCGAAAACACACACACGAAGCAAGGTCAGCCGACAGGGGCCCAGGACGCGCTGGCGGTCGGAGCCCCGGGCGCTCGGGACTCGCGGGGAAGAGCGGCTCTGGGCTTCGGAAACGGCGCGCCCGCCCTGCTCCAGGGAGCGGCCCGCAGCCTTCGCCTGGTCCCGCCCCAGGGGAACGCGGATGGGGGTCTCCAGGTGAAGGCCTTTAGAAGTGGGAGTGCTGGGGGGGAAGAAGCGGCTGGCACCTGAGCGAGAAAAGCGCCTACAAAACCAGGAGGAGCGGGTTTGTGAACTGAGCTCTACACACGGGCAGCGGCGTGGCCGGGTTAGCCCGCCCGGGGCCCAGAAAACGAGCAGGGGCGGCCTCCACCCTTTGGGCCTCGTTTTAGGCAACTCCCTTTTATTTCATTAGCGTTGCATTAAACTACAGGAGAGAGTCTCCTTCTCCCTCCCGCTCAGCTTTATTTCATTGTTCGGAGGCGGGGAGCCCCCTGGACAGAAGAAGGCCCCCCGGCCGCCGCTGCGCCGCTCCGTCCCCAAACCAAGGGCCGTTTGCTTCGGAGCTCTCGAAATCCTCGCAACACCTGGGCCTGTTGCCGATTTAAAATAAAAATAAAGTGTGTCCTTTTTCTTTTTATCTTTTCTTCCCATTTGTTCTAATGACTGCTTCTAGAATGAAAATAAGTAGCAAAACCAAAATCAAGCCAGCCCAAGGAACTGAGACTTCCTCTTATGTCTCAAAGGATCTGGTCCAGCGCGGCAAATTCGGGGTCCGAGAGCACTCGCTACTAACACCTCCAGAAAGGTCAGGGGACAGTCGGGGGACGGGCTGGAAGCGCTGGACCAGCCCGGCGTGGGGTCCCGCACCCGGAGAGCGCTCGGCCTCCAAGACCGTCCCGCTCCCGAGGCGGGGCGACGCCCCGTATTGTACCCGATTTGGCTAAAGACTAAGGGGCGAAAACACGGTTCTGGCCCCAGAAAGTGGTCCACGAGCGCGCGTGGCGCCCGGGCTCCGGGAAGGGCCGCGAGGTCTCCGACCCGCGCCCGCGGAGGGACGGCGGGGAGGGGTTACTGCGGACCCGGTGTCCGCCACGCAACAAACCCGAACAAGGAACAGTCCGGCGCCCCGGGGCTCCCCGCGCCCCACACCGCGGAGCCTGGGCCCGGAGATCCGAGGCTGCGCGCGAAGCCGGGCCGCCGCGCTCTGGCTAAATAGAGATCTCAGCCGCGCGGGGCGCGGATCCGACCCTCCTTATTATAACAAATGTCCCGTTTGCCGAGCGGACTTCATAGTCGCCAAGAATTCATCTGAAATATTGATTTCCTCTCACTTCTCTGGCCCAAATCGATAGCGCTGCGCCCTGGCCCCATAAATCGCTTTCCCCACGGCCGACCCGGCTCCATTCATCACCGCGGCCGGGCCGCGCCTCTGCCCGCGGTCCGCACTTGATGCGCGCCGAGTGGCCGTGCCCAGCGCGTCCATTAGCCCGATGCTAGAGCTCCTTCCGGACGAAGACCCGCGCCTCGCACCCCGCCCCGGCCGGGCCAGAGGAAGGAGAGGGCGGGTGCCTCGGTCAGGGGCTCCGAGCGCCGTTGAAAGCCCTGGGCCCAGGCGCCGGTGAGGAAGGGGTGCGACACCGCGGGCAGCTCAGTCCTTGCAGGCCGAGGTCCCCGCGCGGCTCCCCGCCTGGCCCGCGCTCGACCAGGAGGAGTCCGAGCCCCCAGCTCAGTCGTGGCTCTCAGACCCAACCACCGGCTACTTTCCCGTTGGGTTTAGAGGTGCGCGGGGCCCACAGTCCTGCCAGGGGATCTAGGAGAGCTGCGCGCATCCGGACAAGGGCTTGGTGGTCGAGGCAAGGGAACTGCAAGTCCAGCAGGTCCCGGCCCACACTCACGGGCCGTGCCAGCCAGGGGTGGGCGCGAGGGACAACTCTCTGACCCCACGAAGAGCTCCTCGCCGCTCCGTGTGGTCCGCAGAAACCAAGGCCTGCGGGGGCAGCTCCGCCGGACCCAGGGAAGCTCAGGGCGGAGAGCGGCGCAGCGGTCGCAGCTGGGAGACAGGCCCGAGGCGCCCCAGCTGCGTCCCCGCGCAGGAGGGACCCGCGAGCCCGGCGCGCACGCCCCCAGCCCTGCGGACCCGAGCGCACGCACAGACGCACAGCGACGCGGGGCTCCGGGTCCGGCCACGCGCGTCCTTACCGGATCTGATGGAGTCGTGAGGCATCGCGGAGGATCGCTCGCGGCCCGCGGCGGCTCAGGGAGTCCTCACGCAGGTCCCTGCCGCATCCGCCGCACCGCTGCCCTGCAGACCCAGGGAAAAGGGCGTGAGAGCAAGTCTGCTGCCTTAGACCTCCGCCCGGGCCCTGTCCCCCTGGCCTTCCTGGCGTGGCTAGAGTCGAAGGGTTTAGGAGAAGTGTGGGCAACCTCAGCCTGGCCTAGCACACACTTGGGGTTCTGCCACCAAAGTCCCGGCTCCAGCCCGGGTGCCCTCTTCTTCTGCCACCCCAGCCTCACCCAGGTTAACTTGGGAGAAAAGGCTTCTTGGGACCCTTTCTTTCTCGAACCAGCCCTCTCCCCTGGTCAGCTTTCAGCCAGCCTCCGCAGCATACCTGGCCGGCAGCCGCAGGCCTTCAGTGCCTGGGTCCGTCGCGAGGGTGCCCTGGGCCCGCGTTTCTCCTCGGTCCCAAGTTTGTTCCCATCCGCCAGGCATCGCCACCGGTTTTATCCCGCCAGGGCCCTGAGACAAGGGTCTGGAGAGGCTCGCAGCCCGCCGATTGGCTGGCTGGGTGCAGGGGGGTGCGGGAAGGGGAGGATTTTGCAAGGGGGACATGGCTGAGTGGACTCAGGAGTTAGAAACATTCTCTGGAGCTTCTGTTTCCAGCGGAGAGGAGAGGGAGGCAGCCGAGTCCCAACTCAACAGGCCTGGGAGTGTTCAGGTTTGGGAGACGGAGACCTCAGGGCCCGGCCCGAGGGTCTCGGCGCCCTCCCCGCCGCTGACCGGCAGACGGGAGAGGCGCAGCTGCTTTACAACACCCCGTCCTCTTGTCCGCACAGGCCAGGGGCCTGTTCTCTCACGGGAGGGAACTTGTGTTTCTAGCCTGCTCCCTAAGGCAGAAGCTGCTCACCTGCGCACCACTGGTGTGGACTTCTTCCAGGGCGGAACCCTGCGGAGCCCTGAGCCGGGTCCCTCCTTACCACCAGGCAGGGCCCACACACCCGCACTGCTAGGCTAACGACAATGGTCACAGCCATCTCACAGGGACCCCTCTCTGCCAACACACAGAGCACCAGTCCTCTCAGCCCTCTTTCTTGCTCCTCCAGGATTTTGAACTTGGGAGAAGAGTTCGGAGGACTGGCAGGCAGTGAGGGCCTAGATCCCACCTCAGCGTGGAAGGCTGCTAGAAAGGGCCAGGACCACCGACCTCCGGCCTTGACTGCAGGAGCCAGCAGCCTTGGGGAGGTGAGGGCCTGGGTGTGGGTAAGAAGGGTCTCTCATGGGGGCTGAGGATCGCTTCGTGGGGGCCATCTCTCAAGGAGAGAAGTGGGGCACAGGCAACGCTGTAGAGGGGGGCAAGGCTGGATGCCCCCTCCATCTCAGGCCAGGCTCCTGGACTCAGGGTCACAGCTGAGAGGACAGCGGTGCTCCCTGGCCCGGAGGGGCTGTGCTGCCTGGAGAGGCTGCTCTGGACCAGGGGGGCCGGAGGCTCTGGATCAGGGGGGCCAGAGGCTCTGAATCAGGGGGGCCGGAGGTGCTGGAGTGAGAGGGCGGTGAAGGGGCCTCAGAGACAGCTCGTTCGGGCTGTGTGTGTGTGTGTGAAGTCACACAATTTTTTCTTAATTAAAAAAACTTTCTATCTTTCAGACTAATCCACTTGCACCTCCCACTCAGACTTTCTCATTTCTTGATTTAGCAGAAATTAATCATTTTGTGAAAAGAAAAAGAATACGGATGACCCTAAACGTATCCTCCACATCTGTGCAGGTCTCTGAACAAAACAGTAGGTGCTTCATTGTTTTAAAAGTCTCTCTGACGCTGTCATTTGCTGTCGCTCTGTGTTTGCAGATGTGCAGAGCCCCCTCTCTGGTCGGACCACAGGGAGCAGCTCGAAGGACGCTGAGACGGAAGCAGGCCCTGCACGGCATCAGTCCCACCACCTGCTTCTGTAGGGCAGCGTGGAGCGTGGATTGTCCTGACCAGCCCCTGGCCCAAGAATTCTGCAAACCTCAGAGAGGCCTCCCACTGAGGGGCTGAGAGGTACCAGCTGTGCTGGAACTCAGGCCTCCTTCTTGCTCATGCTCTTCTCCCCTGAACAAAACAAGCCTCCTCCTTCTTCGCCCCACCCCCCATTTTCGGGAAAAGTTCTCAAAGGACAAAAAAAAAAAAAAAAAAAAAAACCCCAGCAAGTCATCAAAACGTTCTGTTCCCATCCCATTTGTAAGCTCATCTTTAAAAAGTCACTTTAATATGAAAACTTAGTGTACAAAAGCTACCTGCACACACCTTGAGAGCAGCCCTTCCCCAGACGGCAGGTGACAGGAGGCAGCTGAGCGGAGAAGTCCTTCTGGCACCACAGGCAGGAGGGACTCAGGGAGCCCCTGCCCTGCTCCCGCCCTGCTCCCTGGGCTCAGCGGGGAACAGGCCTGGGGGCTTTTCTCTGTCCTCGTTCTCTTCAACGAAGGCCAAGAAAATGGTTATTAACAGCACCCCACCTGTTGGGGCCAGCCTCCTTGTCTGCAAAATGACGAGGTTGAGATTATATATATAAAGGGTGTGTGTTGAGATTGAGATTATATATATAAAGGGTGTGTGTGTATCCCTTTTATCATGTTTTCCCCCCTCAAACTTAAAAAAAGAACCATGATTCTTAGTTAAGAATGAAAATCTCAAGCCTTCCTTTGACGTTACTTAAAATTTTGAGGTAAATTTAGCATCACGAGTAGGAGACTCTCGGGTCAATGGGAAAGTCAGAACACGCTTCTTAGGATCAACGCCTTCCTGGGCCCTTCGCAGACTTGATGCCCATGAGCCGCTCCTGCCAAGACTGTTGACCAGCAACCTGAGGTTAAAGCTGAGTTACAATTTTTCAACCCAGTGTTTTTCCCAGAAAATTGATTTAGTTCTCAATATGAAAATAGAGAAGAGAAAGTAACTCTGGCTTGCCCTTAAAATTTTGACAGATCTGGCCACAGATCTGAGTGTTTCTGTGTGGAAATGAATATTCTTTCCAGCTTAACATTCAAAGAGTTTAATATCCATCCCAGGCAATGAACGGCCTAAGCCCAGTGAGTAGTCTGTGGTTTTCTAAGTTCAGGCTGATCTGCTGAGCCTTCTAAAGATGGTCTTTTTTCCAAGGCTCGGCTGAAATCCACTGAGCTGGTGGGAGGGGTGGTCAGGGGCGAGGCGGAGGGCGATCGTTCCCTGGATGTGGGAGTTGGGTGCCAACACAGACTGTCCCATGCAGAGCAGGATGAGCGGTGATCTAGCTGATGGAGCTGGGAAGCAGGTGGTGGGGGGTCTTTTTCAAGCAGCTTGGAGTTTACACTGACCATGGGCGGCGTTCAGCTGTGCAGCTGGAATCCTGCCTCCTGGCTCTGGCTGCCTGGCCCCTCAACTCCAGCATGGACCACGGGCCTCTTCCCCTTGGCCCAGGTGCCCCGGGGGAGGCCAGCCTTGGGGGAAGGTTTCTGCCCCCAAGAACCCTTCTGGGTTACCTGCCCGCCCTGCACCACGTGGTGAGCGCCTCCTGGGACTCCAGTGCGCTCTCTGGGCAGGAGACGGCCACTCCTGCTTTGAGTTGGGAGGTGAGTGGCTGGGCCCCGGCTCCCTGGGATGGGCTCTTGCCTTCCTCGGGGCCCCCATTCCCTCTTCTTTAGGATGTGGGTGCAGGTAGGAGTGGCGATGGCGGGTCTGTCCTAGCTTTGCTGTGAGGTGAAAGGAATTATGGATGCAAAAGCCGTTTGAAAGCTGCGGCTCTGCACAAAGTTAATTATTATGAGACAACAAAGGCAGGGCAGCACTTCCAAAAGGGCAGAGTTAAAACTGCTCTCAAATTTTGCAGTAGAAGTCGGTTCCTTTAATCCTTTCCCCAGAGCTCTGTGAGTTTTTCAAAGAGCCGACTGAACCCTAGGTGATGGACAGGTGATTTCCTGTTGGCAGGAAAGGGCCAGTGAGTGGGAGTAGGTGCAGGGTGGGTGGGGGGGCTGCATGGGGGCAGGGGTGTCTGTGAGGGGACCCAGAAAGAGGGAGCACAGCTGCAGGCAGAAGGGGCACCACAAGGGCAGAGCCTTCAGGCAGCAGGGGTTTGCCAGGGCAGAAGGGCCCAGGGCAGGCTCTCGCCCCTGGCCTGCTCGGGTGCGCCACAGCCACACGAGATTCCCACCAGGTCCCCACAGCTCAGGAAACGCCCACAGCCTGCCCCCAGGCCTCCTGCTGGTGGTGCCAGAGAATCAATCATTAATTATCCTCCTCTCCTCCCCTCCTCCCCTCAGGCTTTCAAAACCCAGAAATAGAAATTCAGGTCCTGGCAGGTGAAAGGAAAGGGCCACTGGTTGTGGGAAGCACTTTGGAAAAAGCCGCTGGTGGTATTTGTCCAGTTGGTGTCGGGCTGGAGAGCTGTCCTGGGCCCGTCTGTCTTGAGCTCCTTGCGCACCTTCAGTGCCTTGGTGGCTGCCACCTGGGCTGCAGGGTGGGGACCGCTGCTCCCAGGCTAGTGCAGCGCCGGGAAGAGCCTCACTGGGGAGCAGGGAGGAAGGTGACAGGAGAGGAAAGGGGTCAGGTAGAGAGGGGATATCGCAGGCCAGTAATAGTTTCTTTTTTTTTTTTTAAGTTACAGATAATGAGCTAGGTCCTTTTTCAACCTGTTTTGCAGATGGGAAAACAGAGCCCCAGGAAAATAAGGACCGTGTCCAAGGTTCTTTGCTGGTGGGTGGTGGACTCAAAGTCCTAATGAGCACTGGTGACCCAGGCCTTAAGTGTTGGGCATTCTGCTCTCCCAGCCTAATCCCCCCCTTCCCAGTGCCTCTGCCCCTCCCTGCAGGAAGAAGGTTCTGGAACCCAGGGAGTGGCCAGGGTGAGGTCAGACCCTGGTGGCTAGAGCACTGCCCTGCACCAGGAGAGTTTTGTCTTTCCAGAGTCATCCTCCAGGGGAACCAACCTCCACCACCGCCAAGTGAAGGGAAGTCCTGGCCAGGGAGGGCCTTGACGAGTATTGAGCACCAGTCACAGGTGCTGTCCCAGGGCTGCGTGCACGCCATTCCCACCAGGCGCCATCCTGGTGCCTGTATCACTGAACGAAAGGCCCGAGACCTTGAGCTGCGGAGCTGGATGGTCTTGGAGGCTCTGCTCTGCCATTAGATTTAGCCTTGGAGCCTCACTTGCCTCATCGGTGAGATGGGCCTAATTTCAAGGGCTGCATGATGATTAAATGAGGTAAAGCATCAGAAATGGCTCGTTAAGGGCTCTGAAAATTTTAGGGATGGTGATGATAAGATACAGTAGTTCGTGTTCTCAAAGCCTCCCCTGGATGTTACCCTGGGCCTCCCTCCTGCTTGGGACTCACAGCCTGACTCTATTTCTCACTTTCCCAGTCACCTGGGGCCATCAGACAATTTTGAATCCGGGGTCTGAGAACTGGGTCCCTGGGGTGCTGGGCCAGTCTGCCCTGTTGTC